CTTATGTAGAAACATGTATAATTTAGAAAAATAATATGAAATTACTTACAACGGTTTGAAGTGCTGATAAATCTAAAAACTTCAATCTCAAAGAGTTAAATAAGATTGTTTCAAATTTTATTTTTACTATAGTTTTTATTATAATATTTAATATTTAGTCATAACTATTTTCTTATATATACATTATGAGTTTTTCTAAATTCATGTCTTTTTTAGAATAAATCTATACATTTTTTTTAATCATGTTAGAAAAATTAGTATTAAAATCAATTTAACTTTATGATATTATTTGAAAGATTTTCTATTGATCCATAGCTTATTGTAAATAAAGTGTAAATTTCTTCTAGAGAATGTTAACATAAATAATCTAGAATATTATTAATAATTTTTTTTTAATATTTTTAATTTCGATAATATACTTATATTTTTAGAATTATATATTTTTCATATTTATATGTATAATTTAAATATTTTTAATAATTTCTACAGTTTAATATATTTTTATTTATATATTTTTATTTTATAATAAAATTATTTCAAGAAGAACTAATCTTGTGCAAATTTTCTGATACATAATTGTCCTGCATAATGGACCATTGCTGTATACTTTTTGTACTATTTTATAGCGAGTTAATAGAAATATTCACATCAATCTTCAAAAGAATCAACAAAGTAATTTTTAAAATTAATAAGTGCCTTAAAGGTGATCATTTTGGTAAGATATTGATTTTAAATAACCAAAGTTAAAAATATATATAGTTTCTCTATTCAATGTAACCTTACGATTATCTGCTTTTACGTGTTTCAATGCAAAGACCTTACCATTCAGACCTTGGATTGAATTACCATCATGTTTTGTATGAATAGTGTCAAAGCAGTGCTTTGGCAATTCAATGAATAAGGCTCATTGTTTAACTTCTCTACACAAGTCAACCCTAATTCAACCCAATCTAAAAAAAACCCAACTTTATTTCAACTCATGTCATTGTCAAGTCAACAACTACACACAGAAAATAAAATAAAATAAAATAAAAAATCAAATCAAATCAAAATAACTTCTGTATTTCACATATTTTGTCCTTTTTGTTGTTCAGGTTTTAGGGCTTAGGGGTCTGAGTTACATGATGTTGCAAATGGCAAAGTGAAGTCAGCAAATGCCAAGAGAATGTCTTGCCTTGCTTGAGAGCTGCACAAGCACCCAACTTCTCCGAGCACATGGGATTCGCTTGCAACCAAATTTGACTCACAAAGAAGCCAACCACAATACTTTGGTCACACCAAACATGCCTTAGAAGCCTCTTGCAAGGGATGAGGATACTATCCATATGTGGATGAATGAATTTATGGATGAATGTATAAGCAATGAATACCATATACTTAGGTCTAAAATATAGATGTTTGGCTTTGTGGACAAATACCGGTGATGTAGTTTGTATGGTTAATTGAGATTTGGGTTTTTTTTAAATAATAATAATAATAATAAGTGCAATCCAATGAAAGGAGTTGAGATTCTACTCTTCTTATGAGATCAAGTCATTTGAACTAAATAGGAAAGGGAGACAATTTTAAGGTGAAGATGGTGGAGGTGTAAGCATAGGGAAGAATTGAGACTTCATGGAACAAGTCGTTTTTTAGCTTCTTTTCTCTTTCTTTGTTATATTTATTATTTTTTCTTTTGTCTCTATTTATTTATTTATTTCTCTTTCTCTTCTTGTTTTTAAATCATTTATTTTCTCTTTAAGTTAAATAATTTTGAAGTGATTGTTAAGTTATTTGTATCTATGTAATTCATACAACTCCAAACACTAAAGTACAAGAGGGACCACCCAAGTGTGGTCCAACATGTCACCCTTCTTCATAACATCCTTCTTCATGGAGTAGTCAAAGATTCTTCTATTCAATGGTGGCTTCATTTGTGATTATCTAGAGCACCTACAACAAATACCACATGGCTTGCTTTCTTTCTTATTTCTATTTCTTTAATAATAAAATTTAGAGCATAGCCCCTTATCTTTTTTCTAGTTCTAAAGAAGCTTGGGTTTTAAAAGCGTCACAAAAAGAAAGCATGCATGGCTTCCTTGTTCCCATGCAGCAGAGTCAGTATGAAATTTAGTGCACAGTTTGTCACATTTGAATATGAATATAAGACATAATGATCTCAAAGGTTTTTTATTTTTATTTTTCATATATATATATATATATATTTTACTTATATTTATATATATTAAGTTGAAAACTCTCCAGTAGATATACATATATATATATATATATAGATTTTATTTGTGTTTCACTCAAGCATGATATTTATGTAAATCTTTTGATGGAAAATGATTTATTCAATATATTAACAGAATGTAGTAATTTTCAAAAATAGGTGAAGAAAAAAGAAAAATATTTCCATTGTAACTGCTAAACTTGACTAACACTTGTTGGTCAAAATTCATTTATTGATTGCTTGGAAAAAAAAGAAAAAAAAAATGAGAGTAAAATTTTACTACCAGTCAATTGTGAGTGAAATTATAAATTATAAATTCTACTGTTTCCAGAACAACTACTTTAAGACTGCCTGTGCCCTGATTGAGTTAGCTTTGTATTTGGCCTCCGGCCATCTAGAAGCCACCCAAACCGCAACGCTGACATGGCATGATGACACGCAAATGGGAAGATCTCACACTGTCCACGTCAGACAATGCCCCAGGGAGCCTCACAGGGAAGTTGTCCTATGTGGCAGCCCTAGAAGCTTCCATGCGTCCAGGTCAGCACATCTTTCACATTTTAGCATTGCACTTAAATGTGAAGGAAGTGCACAGACATGGTAACCAGTTGCCACATGTTGTCTGTTATCTGTGCCTGAAAGTGTGATGACACAACACAGTGCCATTACAATATAAAATTGTTAATAATAATCTGTTTTTAAAATTTTAGTTACACAGTGAGTAGAGTAATGTAAACATGGAATCAAACGTACACACACTGGAATCCAAAGTACAAGTTCATGATCTTTAATCATTGTTGCTTCAGAGTGGTAATGTTCATTGGAGGAAAACATCCAACCTAACAAAGATATTCAACAACTTTGTTGGTCTGGTTCTCGTCAAAATGGCATTCAGCAATGGTTAATGTGTGCATAAGTACAGTTTCACAAAACCCAATTCTAATGAGCTATTGAGCTTTAAAACGGTTTCATATACGCCTTGACAATCTTTGTTGCAGAATTTCTTTTCAAAGAATTGTAATTTCTGGTGTTCCAAATGTTTGTAGAATCTCATTAGTTTGTTCAAACAAATCACATATGCTTGAATGAAGTTAGCATTCTCAGTTATTCTCTATAAAAATCATCAGGAAAACAATCCATTTATTCATGCATCAATCCGGACTAAATCGGCGTCAAAGCTTGATCTTTACATCCACCAAGGTTCAAAGTTCCCACATTTGATCCCATATTCGCTGGTCTGTATTATTTACTGATTTATTCGTGAGTGATTTAGAAAGAACACATGCTTTCTATTACAAACCCCAGCTTGTTGGGAGTGGATGAGGCCAGTGAAGAGAACCCCAAATTATCCTGATTGGACTTAGTCAATGGGGATCACTCCAGAAAAGGTGGTCTTCGTCAAATGTCTATGCTCGGACAACATTATATGAAGCTCTTCGTCGGAAGTTGTGTGTTTTATTACACACCCATTTCATCCTTCTTCAAATTTTTAACCCTGCAGAGAAACACACACTTGGCAGCCACGGAGGGGTTGCAATTTAAACTGCTAGTTTAACAACTAGTCAGCAAAAACCCATTCACACGGTTGCCAGTTTTCCAGTCTTGACTTGTTATAATTCAAACCTTTTCACAACTTTAATGACATCTGATTTGCAGCAGAAGGTGAGATTAGTATCTTCCTGCATTTCCAAAGTTGAAAACTTTTAAGAAGAATGTCAAAAGAAGATTCTCCAACTGTATTACTTTGACCGATTCCTTCACTCTCTTTAATACGCAGAATCTTCAGCAGCTTAATTCCAACATGCTTTGCACTCCAATTTCTAATCACAGATCTCTTTGTTCGAAATACATTTCTTAGCATATTTGACATTCATCCACAATCTAAAGAGAACTCATACTTCACAATTGTCTTTTCTCCTTTAACACATTCTTCAGAAAAGCTCTGACCAAAAATAGGGTTTCCGGCTGTCAAATATGTTTTTTTGGGGTAGTCAGCAAGGTTGATTGAGTCCTGGGAGGATGTAGAGGAAGTTTCGTAGCCGGTTTTTTTTCTTTTTTCTTTTTTCTTTATAGTAAGTGGAGTGCCATTCAATCTTCTGGTGATGGGTTGGTATGAGCAAGTGCTGCGGGGGGGTGAATTTGGAAGGACTACTGATCTCAAGAGGTTGAGTCTAGAGCAAGGCACGGAGCTGGGCAGCGAAGTCGACAGAATTCTCCATTCTTCTTCGGTTGTTTGGTTTCGGTTTAGACAGTTCGGGGAAGATTTAGATGTGTGTATTCGACACCAGGTGTGAATGGCAAACAGACGCGATAGGAACACAGGAAGTAGGATTGACTACGAAATTCATGCTTCGAATTCGACTCTCTCGGAATACGGCAGCGGAAATTCTCCACTAAATGAGTGAGGTGAAGCAACCAGTGGGGATCATGACGCGGTCGTTTGCGGCAGGGAACAAGTGACATCGACGGAACGCAGGGCGCCGTGTGCGGGCCAATTGGAGCTGAAAAGGATTGCATCGAAGAAGTCGAAGTCCGATGAGGCTTGGATTTTGTCGGCGGGGAAGGATTTCCATAAAGAATTTATTAGTGTAGTGGTGCACTAGCAGTGGTTTTTTGGTTGCTGGTGCTGGGTTGTAGGAATGGCGAGCCCAGGTGGATTCGATTCTCTCGGTGGAGGGAGAGGTCCATCTCCGTTTAACGCCAACGAGACCGCGAGGTTTAATCCGACTATGGCCGTGGTCATCATCGTCCTCATCGGGGGCTGTTTCATTCTCGGCTTCATCTCGGTGTTCATCCGCAAATGTATGACGGACGGGAATGCGGTGACTCCCGCAGAGAGATCACGTATCTTGAGCATGAAGACACGCGGTCTCGACAAGGCGGCTGTGGATGCGCTGCCAATTGTCCACTTCAAGGATTTAGACGAGAAAAATGACCGGGAGTGTCCAGTTTGCCTGACAGATTTCGAGCTTGAGGATAATTTGCGCCTGTTGCCCGTTTGCAAGCACATCTTTCATCAAGAATGCATTGATATGTGGTTTGATTCGCACTCGACATGCCCTTTGTGCCGCGCCAGCTTGACAGGCCAGCTCGGGGTTGTTGAGGATTCAAACGACGGGCAAGTGTCGTCGATGGAGCCCGTGGAGATTGTTGTCGAGGAGTCAGGAAACGAGGACGGCAACAGTGAATTGCAACCCGTCGGTGACGAGCCCGAGGAAGGTAAAGATTTTCAACAGCTCTGAAATCGGAGGTTCTAGGGCTCATTTCTACTCGAATTAGTGCCCTGTCCATAGATTAGATTCTGATTTGGTCGAAAGAGGACTAGCGTTGGAGACAAGAATCCTAGTTGTTGAGATAATGCACAAAATTTGGGGGCTTGGTTACGTTTCGCAACCGACAATGCAAGATCGATGAAAGCAAGTGCTATGCTCACCACAACAGGAAATTCTCCGACACTCATGTTCTGAAATTTTCGAATTGCAGATGCTCGCCGAGAATCTTCAGTGGGAGCGATGATATCACGAGAAAACGTCAGGAGCAGTGCACGCGGAGCCCTATCTCGGAACTCGCAGTCGTTCAAACGTGCGGCGCGAGGCGTTGTAGCATTAGAGAGGGCAGAGTCGTTTGGAGCCGCGGGAGGGCAATTGTCTGCGAAAAAACCATCGTTGGAGCAACCGACAACGCCGAGCTTTCGCCGATCGTCCTCTCCGGAACCCGACCTAATAGCTTTGCGAAACATGCTCACGGGGGGCGGAACTTCGGCCTCGCATCGATTGAATGCCGCTCGGCCTGCTGGGCCCAGCTCCGACGTACTCAGAGGCTCATGGTTTACACGCACTAGAAGCGTGGGCTCAGTACCAACAACGGACCACTCTCTCTTGAACGGATACCCGACTTCTTCCGCAACTTCCCGGGAGGAGTTTGTCGCAATTGCCTTGGGAAACAGAAAATCTTCCGATGGATCCAGCAACGCTGTGGGCGAAACCTCAAGCCCCGCACCACCAACACCACAGCGGTCCTGGTCTGACAGATGGAGTTTGGCAGGTCTACGAGGCGCCATGTTCCCCCGCAGCATGTCAACCTCGGATGTCTCATCGCGCACTAATCTGTATCCGCAGGTCTAATGTGAGATTTTTGCAAGCGGTTGATTACATCGACAACACGCGAATCACTCAACCAGGAGGAGACTCATCATCGCAGTTTTCCTGATGTCCAACGAAGTGTAAAACTCTCTCTTTAGTTCAAGCCAGTTCGGCCAGATTTGTACAGAGTAGATAGCTAGTTTTTATGCATAACCTCTCCGTTTTTGTTTTTGTTTTGTTTTGTTTGTTTTTTTTTCTTTTTCTTTTTCCACTCATTTGTGTAGGATGATTGATTCTTGTCTCGTAGATGTAGAGGACGAAGAGTGTGCAGCATCATGGTGACCTTGTCTTGCAGCGGATGTAGATATTCAAGAGACTCTAGGTAATGCGGAGGATTGATTGTTTTTTTTTTTTTTTGAAGGAGCTTGCAATTTTGCATTGCAGAATATTAGTGTCAAGGTGGGTTACAGGATTTTCATGCATCTTTGTTTTTCTTGTGGTAAGAAGTTCTCACAATTGGATGTTGTGGAGGATGATTTTTCTTTTTTTCTTTTTATCTTTTTTTGAAGTGTAACGTCTGTCTATGTACAGAGAAGTAATAAGAACAGTTTTGTGGTATGGGCTACGTGGAGATTCAATGGTGTAAGGTTTGATCAATGGGGTGTTTTTGTTTGTTTGAAGGAGCACAAGATATTTTGGCTCAATTGCTATATCTACCATGTGTTTCAAACATAATGTATTGTACAAATCAATTCTGTTTCAACAATCTTACAAAAGGTGCAATTTTCCTTGAGCCTCAATGTTTCATTTGTATCACCATGGCTATTTCTTCTGTCTTGTAGAACTTGTTTGTGCAAAAGGTGTGGCTTGTTGGATGTATTTAGCATTAGATAGAATAAGTTCATAGATATAGATATATATATATATATATATAGGTAGATATGCAAGCTTGAAAGTTATCAAGGAGTAAGTTTTTTTTTATACCATTCAAGTAGGAGATTAATCTTTCATTAATCTTTCCATCAAACACAAATTTAAAGGCTTTTGCTTCTAGCTACGATCTCTCCCCCACAAATTGTTTTATTCACAATTATGTACACAAATAAAATAAAAAATGACACAGTTTTTTCTACATCTTGCATTTTCATCCTCAGTGTTTAGTAATAGAAATTTCAAACTGACCGAATTTCTAAAATTGACCTTATTTTTTTTCTTTTTTTGTATAATTTGTTGTTTTAAAATAAGAATGATTCTTAATCATTACTTGCCTTAATGATGTGGTGTTCATTCTATCTTAAGCTTATTATTTCATATTGAGGTTTGGGTTGTTTACCATAGTTCAATTGGTTTTGCAACTTATTTTATGATAGTCTTTTTTATATTTGTGCTGAAAGTATATTTACAGCTACCAGTCTTAAACATGATTCTTAATATAAAACTAATCATTAGATATTTGTGATAACCTTGATTATGAAAAACAATTTATTACTAGTGTCATTTAGGAAATCATTTTAATGCTATTTCATTGCAAATTGGTTATTTATTCAAAAATAACAATAACCATTATAATAATACTTAGTTCATTGTTAAAATATTAAAACAGTTGTGTTATGTTTTTTTTTTTGGCGAAATACAAAATTTTAAATGCAAATTATAAATTGTACAAAAAAATTAATTTTCTAAGTACTAAAGTTTTGGGTATAACATTTAATATTCTCAAATTTCCAACTTCCTCATAAATATCATTTGAAGCATATGTTTTTGTTTTTTAATGAAATAATTTGTCTTTGTTTATATCATTTTAAAAAATAAATAAAATTGTGTTAGAAAGCACTATTGTTAACAACTGAAGAAAACATATTGGCAAGAAAAGCATTTGAAGGGTTTCTTAATTATTTTCTTAGTAATCAAGTGCAAATTCTTGTAACAATTGTGAAAATTGTTGCAAGTTCTAAAATTTTAAAAATTTGTATGTATCTACATATTTTCTCAATCAAAATTAGAGTTAAAGTATTTAAGAAACATCAGTATATTATACAACATATCTTCGTGTGTTTAATTTCTTTTATCACACACACGGTGGCATTTTAATCAACAACGTGGAATTGATGTATCTATTTATGTTTGTATGGGATGAAAAAAAATAAAAAAAAAATAAAAATGAAAATAAAATGAACATATCTATCCACATCATTTCTTAAAACATTTTTCAAAGCTACCATTACTGCTTTCAAATCAGCCCAACAGTGTTTGTTGTTCTCCACCGAAAGGTCGAATGCAACTGGTACCTTATCTTTGTGGTTTTTGATTCTTTTGCTTTTTTGTTTACTTTAACTTTTGCTTTTATTTCAAGGATAGACCAGGATAGCGAATGGGATTACGTTGGATTGCGGGCCGTGCGGTGATAGGTTCCACTTTCGGTCACCGGACCATCCATCGGGAACGCCTCATCCATCCATTAGATTCATCCGCATGGTCCATCCGTGGATCCGTTCATCCAAATGCTGCTCCACCCACTTGCATTTGGACGCTCATGCACACCTCATGGGCTCTCAAACTAGGCAATTTCCAACTATTCTTTCTTTTGGATGAATATAATTATGATGGACGAAGTTTGGATGGATGTACCCAACTTGCATTTTATGAAAATAGAAATTAAAGAAATACATACATACATATATATATATACATACATACATACATACATACAGTATTGTAAATTTTACTGTAAATTCTTCTTATGAAACAATTTGTCCTATGAAACGATTTCAGAAATATGACAAGTGATATCCATTGTGATGGACAATTGGGTATTGGCATATTATTTTGATTTTGTTTGGCTACAAATGAAGATGTGGTATTGAAGTTGTTCAACAACATTATCAGTATTTTTTTATTTTTTATTTTTTATTTTTTTTGTTTTTTTTTTGTCTTAAATAAACTGATGGCAGGTTTTATCACGGAAGTATTCATGGAATTAGATTTATTTGTTGAAAGGTTGTTTAAGTTTTTTTAAGAATCTACCTACATAAGTAAATATACATATATATATATATATATATATATATATTTTATCGTTCCTCATTGTAAATGTTTTCAATGTCACAGTATTAGTTATCTTAATAGGAATTACTAGTTAAAGGATGAAGTTTCGAGTACAAACAAACCAGAAATTCAGATTCTTTTTAAAATGAGGACAAATGAAAAGGCCTATTTGGTTGTTGAAGCTATTTACAATCAGAAAAATAAAATCTTAATAAATAAAAATAAATCAGTGATTTATTATTATTTTTATTATTATTTTTATTATTTTTTCCAGTCATTTTAGAATGACTCTTTCATTGTTCTTCATTTTGTTTTACAAACTACTTCTAATGCTCTGTATTACCTCAATATCATGCACCTTGTATATCAAATAATATAATGTACAATAATGTTTAACTTAAAAAATCAAATTCGTACTGAATAGAAAACACGTATAAGAATTAGACTACAATTTTATAGTTATTAAAAAAAATAGAGTAAAATATTTTAAAACTTAAAAAAACTGTGTATGTATACCTAACAATGATATACCTTAGTAATAACACACATATGTACTTAAAAGAAAAATGTGTGTTTAAATATGAAAATATACATGGTAGCATAAAAAAAAGCAATTTTCAGCGTGATAATAGTAGTGTACTTTAAATGGATTGAATTTATGAAATTAAGCTGTAGAAACCATGCTACACAAATCAGTATTAAGTTTAATGAGATTTAAGTTAAGGTTTTGTTTAATGTATTCAGCAAGTTTGCTAATGTTGTGACCAAAAATCTTTTAGGAATCCTTGGATCCTGTGTGTTTTTATTTTATCTTTTTAAACTTTTATTTTTCATTTAAAAAATTTGTAATTCTTTTTACACCGTAATTTCTGTTTTATTTATAAACATACAAATAGAAAATTTAACAGCTAATTTTGAAATTAAAATCAATATAAACATGTTTTACATATTGAAATGAAAAAATTCAGAAAAAAAAAAAAAAAAACAACATATTTCATCTTCTACTTAATATAGTAACTTCATTTATTCAATGCTATCTATTGAAGATTAATTTCTCTACGGATTGATAACTCATCACCTATAGGTTTTGAGCATAACATATAAGTAGGCATCTGCATATCTACTTAAAATTTCGGCAACAAATTATAGTGCTACCATTTTTTAGATATATATATATATATATATATACATATATATATATATTATAAATATATATCTTATTTTGAAGAAATTATTGATATGGTATAAATATATTACTTTCAAAAAATCTATCCTGACGATTAAAACTTTTAATTGAAGTTACTGTTGATCTGTGAAAAGGAAAATTTGATTTATAAAAATTAGTGAAATTGGAAAATAATCAAATGATATTGGATCAATTTTAGACAAAATCACGAATCAAAAACCTCTAATCAATCTCGTAAAACACTTTGTCTATATTTTTACAATTATGAACTGTATTTGTTAAAATGTAAGCTAATGCTTACGATTACTTTTCATGACTCACTACTGTAAGCATGATCAATTTACACAATTACTTGTTCTTCTTTCACATTGCTCACAAGTTTTTTACATTAAACATTATTCAAAGTTAGAAAACAAGATTAAATATACATCATTAGAGTTAAAATCCCATTCCTTTCATAGGTGCAACAATTGTGACTTACTTCGGTCCAACTCCTAATACAAATCCACATCAAAGACCAAACAATGAACTCTTCGAACCAGACACAGACCACAAGTAAGAGAGACAGGAAACGTAAACGCTGATGAGCTTTACGATTTAATTACAATATAAAGATATTCTTAGAGACTGCTCAATGGAGCGGGTCGACGGCGAGAGGAATCGGTCCTTCGTTCCAATATTCCCGGCACCCAATGGGGGATGGATTTTAACAATTTCGGCTACTTGGTCCACGAGATTTCATGCATCGCGCAACATATGCACAGCCGATTGAATTTAAGCTACTTATGAAGTTACTTGGTTTTTACTGCGTGACGCACTCCGCGATGTGGTTGCGAGGAGTGAGTGAAGGAGTGCACACAAACTCATCACAAACGGCTCATGTGTACGAAGAAGAATTGGGCCGGGATGTGTACAATGCCAACCATCACTGCGCCGTCGTGAACGTAGAAGACGAGACGCAACAAGACGGGTAAATTTAGAATGGGAGGGGAGGGGGGTGTGATGAAATGGACCTGTGGCGTGGTGGTCGTGGACGTGATTCCAAAGCATAGTTGCTTTTTCAGGGGAGAGATCTGGCGCGTTGTTCCCGCTGCTCCCGTTCCTCTTGCCTCCACTCACTCCTTGCATTCGCCGCTAGCACCACTGCGTGTCTCGCGCTCGAAGCGCCCTCACAGTCCCTGTGTTGTTTAGTGGGTATGGTGCTCCGAGTGTGTGTTCCTCGGCTTCCGTCCTCCGAACTCGGCGGTGTTTTGGGTCGTCGTCGCTCCACTTGTGCAGCTCTGAGTCGCTTGGAGATCGCTGTAGGTGCACAGTTTCCGATTTCCCTGTCTCCTGGGGTCTCTTGGACCGATTCGTTGTGTCGAACTGTGTCCAGCCGTGTTGAGATCGATCACCCCTCCTTGAACGTACAGGACGTTGTTGTTTTCTTTGTTTTTTTTGTGCTTGAATCTCGGTTCTCATGTTTAGTGCTGTTGGGTCGAAATTTTAATCTGGAAAGAGTTGGTAAACTCTGTGAGTTGGAATGTAGAATTGTGTGACTGGAAAGGCAAGCTTTCTAAACTTTCTGCCGTTTCAAGCATTTTGATACGTGTTGTAGCCTTGGTTGTGTTCATTTCGACACCTCTATCTTTGTTGCTTCAAGATTCTCCGTAGCCTAAATCGTCCGTTTTCTTCCGTTTCCTTTGTTGTGTTTTTTTTTTTTGATAAATACACGCATCCACAGTTACTCTTAGTAAATTAAGACCTTGATTGATTAGTTTGGAACGCGGATAGAACGTACAAAGGAACGATAACCACGGATCAGTTAGAGTCAGATACAAATGATTCATGTTACTGTCATGACGCTCAATGACGTCGAATGTTTGAATCACGCCGGGCGTTGAAAGTCGAGAAAATGTACGAGATGGGCGTGGTATAACTGGTCGACAATGAAATTACAGGTTGCAAGAGATGTGTGGAGCAGCTCGGCAACTCGGAGCGTCGCACAGGAATATCTTTCAGCTTCAGCTTCAAAACTTAGGTCGGGACTGGAAGTCATTCTAAAGCCACAGTTTGCTTCATTACTTTCCGTTGAGTGAATCCCGCTTATTGTCATGAGATGTTTTTCTTCTATACGCTACATTGCGTAGTCGCACCGTAGTTTGATGTCGTGCTTTCAGGGTCAAATTGTGTGCAATCCCTCTCGATGAACACGCGGATTCACTCCGTTGCAAGGAAGTCCCTTAGGACCAGCTGCAATGGGAGTTTTGGCAGTTAGTAATTTATGCCCTAATGTCGGAGACTCGCTGCTAAGTGTGGATACCTAGGCCGGGGCCAATTACTTTATTGACTAATCTATTGATTAAAAAGAATTGTGCATGCGCCACTATTATTTTTAATCACCATGTGTCAGGAGCGCACTGCTTCATACTCTTTTGTTTAGATGCTTGATGATGTTTTGGTCACTGGAAAAATATTAACTTTCCCTTTCTTTCAAGGTCAATGCCTACACCTCCCAGTTTCGGCAACTGGTTTTGAGTTTAGCCTTTCGACTAGGGGTTGGCTGACCGAATCTCAATAGCATTCAGCCTCACTTCCATTTCGTAGTACTCTAGCAGGAGATCGACATGTTTCGGAGGAATGCCACAATCTCAAGAATTTTGAAGCGCTGAATGACCTTCAGCCAGTCTCAACGTGGTTAGATCAGTCGTGCAGTTGGTCGTGTAATTTTTTTTTCTGTTGCCGCAAGGCTAGCGGTGTGCACGGCCTAGTAGTGAAAATGGTTGATAACGTGTAGGTGTTGGGTTTGCCGCAATGACAGAGAGCTTCGAATCATGTACAATACTCTGTGCCGCAAAGATGTCGAGTTTTCGGAGACCAGTTGATAATAAATCGTGCACGGTTTAGAAACTTGGGTCGTATCCATTAACTCATCAACTGCTCTTTGTGCAGATTGATGCGGCCTGCCGTTAAATTATGAACGCCTGTAGAGGGATACAGCTGCTGCGTCCACTGGGAGTGCAATCTTCAAAGCAGGAATTTAGATGGAATTGCAGCAATCCCTTATTGACACGGCGGAGGGCGGCAGAAAGCGATTGCGGGATAAGTCTACTATTTCTCCATCTTCCTTCAAGGTTCGAAGCTATTAGTCTTACTTTAAACTTCGGTCATTTGAAGTCGTCTTGAAGACCTCGTCAAGCCCCCTTTTGGTTTCGACCTGGGACTTCCGAAGTTATGATCAAACGTGACCCGCATTATCATTCCCCTGTGCACCAGGTGATGAATCTCCCTGGGTCAGTGTCAAAATGCGCGTTACGATGAAGCAAAAATATGCGGTTCGAACACGCTACCTCGAAACGGAAAGCCCTGGCTCCCTCAATAACCCCTATGCTCCAAGTCCATACATTCCAGCGCCAATTCCGCCGGGTTCGTCTACCCCAAGGCCGAACGCATTCAGTCCAGCAGTGGTTGCGGTGATTGGAGTGCTAGCCGGCGCCTTCCTGATCGTTAGTTACTACAGAATCTTCGCAAAGTATTGTAATCGGCACCACTTTCCCTTCTGGGGCACCCGGCGTAATGGTCGAGACGGCGGCACATCCGCCATTGTAAGCATTTTCCTCCTCTTACGAACCTTCTTTGGTTGAATCCGTTTCCGAGATGCCCCAATCTAATCTTTTGATACTCTTCGTCTTCAGGTGTTGATGGAGGAGCATGGCGCATGGCCTTCGAATGCGGTGGGCTTAGACGACGCCCTCATCAGTCGGATCCCAACCCTCAAATACGATCCTCACGAGGGGTTAGTCGATGGGACGGAATGCTCCGTCTGCCTGGGAGAGTTCAAAGTTGGAGAGGTTCTCCGAATCTTGCCGAAGTGCAACCATCCCTTCCACATACCTTGTATCGATACATGGCTCGTCACGTCCTCCACATGTCCCTTATGTCGAGTCAACATCGTTTTAGCTGTTACGGTGCCCTACTCCCTGATGCCGGTGGAGAGAGAGCCGCCCGCGCACAGTCGTGGACCCACCATGTCGGCCATTCCGGCGTCGAATCCTAATCCCATGCAGGCGCTCATCAACCACGAGATTGAGATCCTGCAAGAGCAGTACGTGCAGGAGTTTTGGGAGAGTGGACAGTTGTCTGGTCCTCCGAGGTCGATGTCGCCACCTTCTAGCCGTGGCTCGTTCATGTCCGGTAAGATCGACCTCCTAATTTTGTAGTTCCTGTTCCAACCTGTTCGCAAACATACGCCCGCCTCTCTTGTTCGTAGAAAACATGCTCTTATCGTGTGAGTTTGTTTTACTTTTTAGCTGAAGACCTTAAACCCCAAACTATTGCAGCTCCGGATGTCGGAACTCCAGACAACCACCAGATTGAGATGGAAGGAAGTTCAGTGCAACACTCGCGGCATTTATCATCAGAAACTGTCGAGACTCCCACCAAAGAAATCCATCTCGTCAACAACCAGAATTTCACTTTGGAGCGAAACTCGCACCTCAGCAGGCAATTGTCCGTGTCCACCAAGCGGAGGCTCTACAGCCACGCTCGCAGCGAGAGGCACCGCTACCAATCGGAAGGTCGGCCTGGCCATAGTCGGAGAGACTACGACCACAAGGGAAAGCACCCTCTGGTGCCTTTCCCTTCACCGCAAATGGAGCGCTTCGCTCGCTTTATGGGGTCATCCTCAGCTCGGTCCACGAGCTCAAGCTCAAACCAAGTGGTGGTTGAGCTTCTGGCACAGGAAATATTCCAACACAACAATCCAAGGAACCACTCTAAAACCCTCTCAGAATCAATTCTAGAGACCAGCGTCAGGGAGCATCCATACTCAACGAAAAGCTCTCAGGAGCTGATGTCTACCTGCACTTTTTCTCACAGACCTCAGCGGTTACGACACGACAATGCGAGCTTCGAATTGATGTGGTCTATCAAGGAGCAAGAGCATCCTCCCGTGGACATCATTGAGTCGTCAAATAGGGCTCCATGTGGTTACGACTCCCTGGAAGATTCGAGTAGAGAGCACGTCGAGATGCCGTTAGCTGTATCTGTGAGCTCAGACGATGAAGACGACGAGCTTCACCACAGAGACCATGTTAGCTCTATCAGGAGCTTGAGAGGTCACAGGCACACACGGCCCAGCATGCATTTCGCATTTAAAAACTCCAAATCGAGGTTTAGGAGGTATGGGTCCGTGAAGAAGGTCCACACATCTGAACCTGCCTTGGAGATTTTCGACGTCTGATGCTTCCATCTTTTTCCATCTTCTGCTGCCGTGAGATGCGATCCTGTACAACTATTAAACCCGGTCAATATCATCATACAGGTAGAGAGCAATTTAAAGTACATTAACTCAATTCTGATAATCAAGGGCAGCTTGTAGCCTTTTAATTCTTGACTCTTGGACAGCCTTGGTGAAGAGAAAATCTGGAGATCCAATGAGCTCAGTAGACTGTGATTAGTTTATACTTGCATCCTCACATGATGCGGTTCTCCCATGAACTCCCTGCCGATTGCATGCCTTCGGTGGTGATGAGGTGTTAATTAACGAAAGAATTACTTTTGCAGCTAAGTAAACATGCAGGTATGTTGCATTCCTTCATAACCCAAGAGCTTGAAGAAAAATTTAATATGGGTTCATCCTGGTTGAGATCCTCATGCTAGATCCTCATTCTGGTTATGTGCCTGAACAACAGGTCTTGATGTGTGAAGCTCTGCTTTGGCTTCAGCGTTGTATATGTGAAGACAGTATAACAATGTATCATAATGGTAGTTGAGAAAATGTATTCTTGTCATATTATTCTCTGGTGTGTTTTTGTACGTGATGGTTTCTATGGTATAATATTTTTATTTTTATTTTGTCATAATCTTTTGATTATGGAGGGAAGTTGAATTCCACATTCATGGAATTTTTCTTTATAAAATATAGCTTTGTTTGAACAGTTATGAACAGGTTTTTTTCGGTTTATGTAATTTTAAGATTACAATTATTAATTTGTTTGAAACATAATGGAGTCAACTCTTTCACTAATTAATTGGATGTACACAACTATAGATTTTGAAAAGAGTCTTAGAACAGGGTGGGATATACTAGGGTAAAATCCTATTTTATACTTTGCCCTTCCTCTCTTAGGCCTGTCTAGCCTTTCCTAATCCAATTCATTTTAAACGTTCTTAGATATCTTAGTTCATTTAATGGTTTTCTACAAATTAAGGTTTAAGTCCTTAGTATAATTTATTAATCTAAACTAATGTGTTCTGTCAATATTTTTATGAAAACAAGTTTAGTATCTAAAAACTAAAGTCTATTTGGTGCTTTTAAATTGTTTCAGTACTAGAGCTCTTTCATGTTGGTTATGTTCATGAGAGTTTTTCTAAAAACTATTTGTTGAAATTGTAAAACAAGCCATGTAGTGTTTCTTGGGACTTTTGTTCAAAGAATGTTTTTTTAGTATTAGTACTAATTACTTTGTATTAAATAATATATGAAAATATTAATTATATTAGATTTAATTTAGTTCTTATTTTAATCATTGTCTTTAATATTTGACTTTTAATTAACTTAATATATATATAGACAAATAGATAGTGTAACATGTATTTTTTGAGGTATATTACAACTCATCATAAAATGGTCTTTATCAATTCTTTGTGCATTTAGCTTTTAAACTCAAAACATATAAATTTGTCATTTTAAATTAATTAGATAATATAATCTTATTTAATCTTTAATAAAAATCTTCTATATCATAAAGCCTTAATTGTGGCATACTAGCATATATATATATATATATATATTTGTGTATGTAAAAATAAATAATATGTATTATATAATATAATTTTATTCAAGATGTATGTATAATCATACCGTCTTATTTAATTCATCTATTAAGTGACAAATGAAATCTTAACTATTATAACCATAATAGATGAATATGAACAAATAGATTCTAATGGAATCTCAATGGATGTTTATACCAACATCTCTTCTTAAGTTGGATTTGATATGATTATATAGTTTTTGCTCTTTTTTATATTCTCCACCTCATTTTGTATCATTACAATACTCTTATGTGTGATTTGGTTATGGAGTGTGTACTCAAATGTTTTCAAGGTAATATGTATGTATGATAAAAAAAATGAGAAGGTGAAGATTAACACAATTAAGTGTAGTAGTCAAAGCAACTTATGACAAGACTACATCACTAGCAATAAAGTTAGCAGAGTAGTGGAAGCAAGGCAAACTATCTTGGTTGTGATTTAATAGATGAAGAAGCTAATGTATGAATACATGTACAGTTAGCTTGAGATGACTTGATAAAGAATTTGATATAGTTGGAAGTGCACAAGATGCTTAATGGTAAGAATTGTAATTCTAAATCAATATGCCATATGTGTAAATGTTTCATAATCCAAGCATCTTACAAATCCAAGTTTCAACTTCTTTCTTATGGTGCAATTTCAAAGATATGTCCTATGTAATAGAACATAAAGGAAATACTTGACAACTACATGAGCTTTTAATTGTATTAGATTGTAGAGTATAACAATTTGTTGTGTCAAAATAAAAAGGTAAAGAGTGGTATAGATTAGGTGGCAACACAATAGTTATTCAAGTGTGGACAATTATACTATAAGTTTGACAACTTATACTTATTAATGGCATCTTTCTTAACAAGATTGATGCTTGTATAATACATAGAGCTTTACTATGTTTTCTACTTTATGAAGTTAAAAATATCGAAGACATGTTGTTTTTAATATAGTATTCTAAATTATTGATTGTCTCTTTATTTTTGTTGGACAATGGAATTTGTGTATGATTTTTAAATTTGCAATTATTAGAGAAGTCTATACAACTAAACAACTTCTTATGCTCTATCACTTAAAGTTCAATATTTAGATTTTATTGAAGATCTTGAAATAATCAAATATTGTTTATTTTTCTAACTTATTGGTCTTCTTCTTAATATAAAAATGTATACTTTCATAGATCAATGTGTGTCTAAACATAACTTCCAATCAATGTTTATATATTCTTTAAGTTTATAGTAACTTTCTTTTTGATAAAGTATTCCAAAATCCAAAGTATGCTTAGTGTATTATATTATATATTTATCTACTTCTAAATATAAAATTTAAAATTATAATATAATACAACATACTAAGATTATAATATAAAAAATATCTCATGTGATAATTGTAAGAAATATTAATTTTTCAACTAATTGGCAATAATATGTTACATTGTATGCAAGGGAATTCAAATTGTTTACTAAAATCAATCCTTTTGGCAATCATGTTTTTCTAGGTTAACACTCCTTTATGCCAAATTTATCTAAGATGGTAGCAGCATACTTTGTTTCATATTTAAAGATCTTTCTTTATGTAATTTCAAAATTAAGTCTAGATAGTGGTTAATCCCATTAAGATCTATCATATCAAATGTATTGTGAAGGTGAGTTTTTAACCAACTTGTTAATTCTCTCTTACTCTTTATTAAAAATAGATTATTGATGTGAAATATAAGATTAAATATTTCTTCATTTATGTACAAATAAAATATTTTTGCATCAAAATTGCTTCTTTTTTTGTTGAAATTTTTTTAAAAATATATTGATTTATTTATGCTATGCTTGTAATAATTATTTAAGTTCATATATAGATTTTAAAATTTTGTATACTAGTTCTTCATTTTTTAATGAAATGAATCGTTTAAATTGTGTCATGTGCACTTTTTCTTTAAGGTGATTGTTAAAAAATGTTATACATACATCTATATGATATATTCTCTAATTATTCTATATCACCAATGTAGTAGGTGTATAAATTGTAGACCATTTTAGAACAAATCAATTCTTTTTATTTGTTCAAATCCTCTAATAAATAATGTACATATTTTCATTTTTTGTTGGTTTTCTTTACTAGGTTTCAACTTGTATATCTATTTTGTAGATGTAGGTCGTTCTTTTTCATGTAATTGTTTTAATCTCCACGTCTGATTTTTCATTATTGAATCTATCTCATCTTCTACTCTCTTTCTCCAATCAAGATCTTTATTTGCTTAGTTAAAGCTGATATTATTGGATTGTATATTCACATCTTAATAATTGTCAAACCATATATTTTTTTGCTTAGGCCGTGTTGGTTTATATACACTTAGAATGAATTGAAGAGAAAAAGTATCATTGTGTTGTTTATCAGTACTTGGAATCACTAATCTAGATGCTAAAATTCCTATCACATTGTCACCTTCTTGTATTTATTTTTATGATTTTGTTGATGGTAATTTGTTTGAATAAATGTTGATATTCTTTTCCATTGTATTAATTTATAATACATATTTTGATAAATATGAAAGAATCAATATGTGAGTAAAATTCACTCTTTAACCTAAATTACAAGATAGTCTCAATTAGCACTTGCTTATAATTGGTGGTATAAAGTGAGAGACAAAATCAACAAGAGACAAAGAAGAACAAGAAAAAAATAAGTGAAAGAAATGTACCCAACAATTATACACTTTAAAAACTAGTCACAATTGATTCATTAAATTTTTATTTAATAAAGAAATAATATTAAAATTAATAATGTATTTTTAGGTAGACAAAAAAAATTATAATTTAATGAAGTATAAATTATCAGAATCTATATTACTATAAATAAATTATGATAATTTAAAGAATAAAGATAAAAATAGAAAATTTGTATAAATATGTTTTATCGCAAGAATAACTTGTTCAAGAAATTAAGAGTTTGAATCTCATTATGTAAAATATGTACAACTAGTACATTAGCTCTTGATTCTTTTGTTTTCTACAAGTAAAACTATATTTTTTGTATTTTTGGCTATACCATGGTATTTCAAAATGTTGAATTAGCATAGAGATCTTACATGGCCTTCAGAGCCTACTCAAATTCTTCATAATGGCCTTTCAAAGTAATAAAAATCATTTTTACAAAAGTCTTAAAAAATATGCTTTATAAATTTCTTAATAATTTTAAATAATTCTTAATAAAATTTTAAAATTATTTATAGAATTTTGAAAGTGTTCAGATCTTGGATTTAATACTTCAAATAAAACTTAACTATCTTCAATCTTATTATAAAAAAATAAATAATATTATATCTCATAAGCAAAAAATTATAATTAATTAGAATAATTTATTATATTTTATTAATAATATCAATTATTCTAAAAGAAGACTTGTAGAATATTTTAATTTAAATAGTAATATAAAAATATGAATTTATGTTATTATATTATAATTATCTTTAATTATTATTATTATTATTATTTATTTTTTATTTTTTTGTAATTGTATTGCTCACTATTTAAAATTCTTTTCTAATATTTTAAAAACTAATAGAAGTAATAATTCTAACTTATAGCTATATCAAAAATACAATTGGATTTATTCATATATAGTACAAATTCCAATTGTCATATTTAAAGATATATATATATATATATATATATATATTTGGTAAAATAAAATAAAATAAGAATAAGGATTTTATTAGAATGCATCTTATTTTAAAATTATAACTTATTTTTTAGTATATTACCAAGAAAATTTTGAGGATTTTCACCCTCAAATTTCAAAATTAATTTAAATTATTAAAGGTATTTTATTTTTATTTTTTATTATTCCTATTCCAAGTTCAAAATTGCAATTTTCATTTAAATAAAAGTAATCTTATATAAAGTATGCGTGAAGCTTGCAATAAACCCTTTGAAATGATTGCATTTGTAAATAAATTGTTATTCTATTGAATTTAGTTGTGTTTTGAGTAGAGTAGATCCTCTTGTCACTATTTTCTTTACATATTCTAATATTTGGAAGATCAATCTCTATCATGTGTATGTCTTCTTCATGTGTTGTCTTAATTCCTTGTGTGATTGCAACGTGTCATTTTAATGAGTGAATTTGTAAAAGCCTTGATTTAAAAATGATCCTCTGTTAACTCAAATTGCATTTAGTATTTATTTAAGTTAATATAAAAATTCATAATCCACAACTTCGTTTGAATATCTAGTTTAGTAAAGACAATTAAAAAACATCAACAATCAATTACAAAACTAATTGAAATGTGTAGAAAAAAATAAAAAAAATAAAAAAAATAAAAAAATAAAAAATCGTAAAATAATGATATGCACATGAAAACAAAATCCTATCCATCAAATCTTCATACATAAAGTCAGGTGTTAGCCATATCATAATAAATATCAATACATGTAATTACGTTTGCAAATCCACTTGAATATTAGTTTAATTTCAATTCAATGCATTTGACAGTCTTTTGTATTTAATTCATTATAAAGTATAACCTAAAAGTTTCACATCTACATAATTCAAAAATAATCATATTACTAATAGTAATCTCTATATACATACATATATAATCATACACACACCCTTTGAAAGCCCATGAAGAAAACACATGATCACCCCAAGAATTTGCCACCTCTATTGTTACAACATCCTCAAAATAAAAACAACGAAGCACATTACTATTACCAGGACTCAATCCAAGTCCCAAAAGGGACCAATCATATCTCAAGCCAGTTCTCCAGAATACCCCAATCACGTCTCAATTCGGTTCCTAAAAATTTCCCAAACACAAGTCCTACACAAGATCCAAGTCGCTGTACGAGATCCTCAAAATACGACACCAACCCCAAAGGCGCGCAACACATGGGGAGCAGAACTCCCAGTTCCCAAAACCGCGCGATCGGGGACGGAATTACCGAATTACCGACCCGCGAGTGGCCAGCGGCGGAGATTGTGAAAGCAGCAAGAGAAGATTCCATAACGAGCGGAGAGGAGAGGAGAGGAGTTGGAGATGGAGCTCGGAGAAAGAAGAGGTCTGCGGAGAGTGTTGCACTGCGGAATGGCCCGGATAGCTAACGATTGGTGAGCGAGAGCCAGCCCCACACCGGATCTCCCAGATAAGGCGACTCTAGCTCCCCGTTCTTGTTCCCCCGTATCCTCGCCCACCTCCCTCGCGGATAAGCCCCCCCCCTGCCTGCGCCGCTCCACAGTATGCCCCTGTAAAAGTGCCCCTGCATTATACACCACTACCACCTCTCGTCGCAACCGGGTCGTTCGATTGCGCAATTGCGATGGCAGCCATGGCCTGCACTACTGCTGCTGCGTCCACTGTCTCCACCCCGCGCCTGGGTGCCGTGTCGGGAGTCAAGACCAGCGCTGCGGCGGCACGCTCCGTGCAATTGACGTCTGCCTTCCATGGCCAGAGCGTGTCCAGTGTGAGCCACGTTGCGGCTTTGAAGGCTGCGGTGACGTCGAAGAGAAGTGGTCGCAGGGCCGTGGTGGTTTGCAAAGCTGCTGATGGGCAGACTGTGGTCATCGGACTGGCTGCGGACTCTGGGTGCGGGAAGTCTACGTTCATGCGGAGGCTGACGTCCGTGTTCGGAGGCGCTGCGACTCCCCCGAAGGGTGGCAACCCTGACTCCAACACGCTGATTAGTGACACCACCACCGTGATCTGCCTGGACGACTACCACTCCCTCGACAGGTATGGTCGCAAGGAGAAGGCCGTGACCGCGTTGGACCCCAGGGCGAACAACTTTGATCTCATGTACGAGCAGGTGAAGGCCTTGAAGGAGGGCAAGTCTGTTGAGAAGCCGATTTACAACCACGTGACCGGTTTGTTGGATGCCCCCGAAACCATTCACCCCCCTAAGATTCTCGTCATCGAGGGTCTGCACCCAATGTAAGCTTCTTGCTGCTCTTGTGAGAGCGAGCTTGACGATTTTGGCCACAATTCTCTGATTGCTGCTGTACTTTAGTGGCTAATTCATTCGCGGAGCGCTACTATTATTTAAATGTTGGTTTCTACATTGAGTGATGTTGTCAATGCTTGCCGGAGTTTCAGTAGGCAACCTAGAGGTACGAATTACTGCAGTATTCGTTGTCCAGGCACATCTCTAACGAAACGATGTCGCGAGATGGCTAGACTCGACTTTGGAGAGATTGAGTTTCGATTGTGTATCTGCTTTTGTAGGGTCCATCTTTCTGTATTACTTTCTGATGATTCAATCGCAGGAAGACGAGGAATTCCTTTTGATAATGGCAGTAGTGTCGAGTTTAGCTTTACCTCGTAGAATGTAGATCAAAAGTTCAACCATGGACATGAATTCGTCACAGCGTTATTATCCAGGCCATGTATGGTGAAGGACGCGAAATGCGCATTTTGCACCTTGCTCAGAGGCAACAAGTTTGTTCTCATTCGGTCAATAAGTTCCAGACTCCATAATCTCTGACTACGATGTTCCCACGTGCAGGTACGACGAGCGTGTCCGGGAATTGTTGGATTTTAGCATTTACCTAGACATCAGCGACGATGTTAAGTTCGCTTGGAAGATCCAGGTTGATGCACCCTCCTTTTTTCGACTCCCATATTACAGCAGTCACTCACTCGTCACCGGACCTGTTCAACCCACCTCACTTTCTCCATGAGAATCATTAATGATCTTTAGAAAGTATCACTGTTGACTGCATTAATCAAACTGCTCTACACCGTGGCCTGTGAGCCTGGCGGTGGACCATTGAATGTGGAACTGACACATCGTATTCTTCCTGCAGCGTGATATGGCAGAAAGAGGTCACAGCCTCGAGAGCATTAAGGCAAGTATTGCGTCTCGCAAGCCTGATTTCGATGCTTACATTGGTAAGCCCTCTATCTCTTGTTTTGATCTTGCGGCGCCAGTTCGAGGGTACTGTACATATTTTTAACTCCCGTGAGTATTCAGGTTAGTAACTGTGGGATTGGATTTGTGAACAGATCCCCAGAAGCAGTATGCCGACGTGGTGATTCAGGTCCTGCCCACACAGCTCATCCCCGATGACAACGAGGGCAAGGTCCTCAGGGTGCGCATGGTAATGAAGGAAGGCGTGCCTTTCTTCGAGCCCGTCTACCTTTTCGACGAGGGCTCAACGATTTCCTGGATTCCCTGCGGTCGCAAGCTCACCTGCTCATACCCTGGCATCAAGTTCTTTTACGGCCCAGACACCTACTATGGCAACGAGGTCTCCGTCTTGGAGATGGACGGCCAGTTCGATAAGCTCGACGAGCTCATCTATGTGGAGTCACACTTGAGCAACATCTCTACCAAGTTTTACGGTGAGATCACTCAACAAATGTTAAAGCACGCGGATTTCCCCGGTAGCAACAACGGTACTGGATTGTTCCAAACCATCTGCGGTCTTAAGATCAGGGAAGTGTACGAGAGGATCCTCGAAAAGCAGAAAAACGCTGTCTCTTTGGAAGGCGCCAAGTCTTAGGATCCGAGGCACGACCGCAACTGTATCATGGAAGAATTCTTTGTTAGGGTAACTGTAGATTCAGATTGTTTATGGATGTGAAGACTTTATCTAGATCAATCGCAAACCTGGTTAGCCCGGTGAGGTTGAGGTAGTTTTCAAGTTTTGTAGCTTTCTATTCGTTGACTAATCCCCTGAGCAGAGCGTCGACGATCTGTCGATTGAGCTCTGCCTGTGCAGGTATATACAAAACCTAGTTTTCCTCTCCTGAACTAATTACTTGTAAAATGCGCACTCGTGTTTGTCAATTTGTTTCTCTTTGTTCTTTTACCGGCCATGTTATATGCGTCGCCAACAATTAGCGGATGGATAAATATTACAATTCTCGTTCATATTTTTTGATCTAATGTAAATGAATTACGAAAATGCACTTCTCCGTATCGTAAAAATATCGCCTGTAAATATCTCTAATATATCACAGATGGAGAGATATTTCAATATTCTTATACTCCTTGACATAAAACAATCATCGATAACTTTGCTTCTCTCAAACACGAAAACTGATGATCATGGATTATATTAACTTTTGACAAGCATAGTAAAAGGGGAAAATATCTAAATCGACAACGTTATAAGATGTAAGAACAGAAGAATAATAATATAACTTCGAACAACAAATGTGTCAGTTTTACAATACACTAATGCAGGAGACAATTGTGAAAGTGAGTGTCGAGTTGAATGAACTTTGTCAAGAGCTGATGCCCAAGATCACCTGAGACAGATCCTGAAGTTGCCAGGAGGCCACCTTCACCTCCTGGTGGGAAGAGTTTTGGTTCTGGCAGTGAATGACAATAGAACGGTCATAGGTTCTCGGTGAAGCTGCTACGTTCCCACTAACTTGAGTTATATATTTTTCTACAGTAGCCGATAAGCACCAAGACAGCAAGGCCACCGCCAAATCCTCGTAAAACAGGATCAATGGTCATAAAATACACATGATCGCCGTTCGGTGCACACTTTCACCTCGTGTCGACAGTTGTCAGATAAGTAAGGGTCGGAAGAATGCTCTCCAATTACCAGCTCCCATTCGTGCGGAAAACGGCACATTAATCTACACTGAGGACCTAGTGGTCACGATGCTCAACAGATAGAATGATAACACGACTTAACACGCACCTTTCGTTCGTAGCTTAACCTTACTCAGCATCTTTAGCCGTTTTTACGTAATTTGGCAATTTGCAGCAGTAAAGTTGACATGCGGTATTTTACAAGACGCCTAATCATCAGCTACAGCACACGATTTAGGGTTTATAAACGTCCGGGTAAGCACAAATGTTCCAGAAACATAGATAAGTGCAAAAAAATCACATTTTGTAATTGCCCATCGTGGTCGTAATCCGTAATATATTCTTAACCAATCTCTAAATGGCATCCCAACCAATCAAAGGAGCTCTTACATTCGATCAGTAATGGCATATAGCGTGTTTTGCTAAACGTGTTACAAGCAACTCTCTCTAGAAAGTCGAATCTACGAACTTTTCACTATTCCGAACACCTTGAGTGCTCTCAAAAATTATGAGCTTGGTTGGCACTTCTGTCAACAACGTGACGTCCAACTCGTCAATATCAATTAGCTTCAATGTGCTAAGACGCGGCTGCAGAATTTTCGTGTAGCAACACATACTCCCGGCTGCATGTTTCAACTTCGAAGTTAGACATTGGCAAGTGTTGGGCTACCCAACTGGTTCCTTGTATAAACCTGTGCAATGTTCCAAAGCTATTACCTTCAATATCGAAGTTGGTTCACGTACTAGAATTACTGACCTGCTGTTTCCAAACTTTAAAGTATCCTTCTCCCGGAGTTCGTAGTATCGTCGTGATTCAATGCGAGTATTCTGCAGACGAATACATCATCCCAATTTAAGAAGCATTCATAAATTTATCCCAAAAAACACGACAGATAAACTATCTGAATTGTAAACGTTGACACATCCAATAGCGCTCTGTCAGACAGCCGAAAATTTTTCTTACATTCAAATGGGTTCCGTTTGTGCTTCCTAGATCCATGATGTAAGGCCTGTGAATAAATGAAGCAATCATAATCAACATTCAGAAGGCTTGTCAGAGTTAAAAGCAGGGGCGCCTTGAGCCAAATACGCAAAATAATTGCAAGGAAAAGAACAGAAAAATAAGTAAACAAGAAAGAGAAAAAAAACACAGAAAAAAGACAGGAAGTGGGAGGAGGAGACTCAATACATACTGCCGCACTGAAAACCAGGCAGACTGGGTACACCTGATTCAACATGTAGCATAATAGTTGATCTCACTGTTCAACCCCAGCTCTTACAGTAGCAACGACAGAAGCATGGTGTAGAAGAATCTACATTTACAAGTAACGAATAAGCTAGTCTAATTATACTTCTATTGACTTATACCACCCCGCACTGGTAAAGAACAGACCCGGGCTAGTCTCTTTCACACGCAATTGTCATGAATCCAATTTACTACCCGAAGCACAGGGCATGCATAAAATTCAAAGCTGTGACTACCCAGATGAATGTAAGCAACTTGTGCAGAAAGTAAAAACTGAAGGAAATCAAACCCAACTTATTTTTGTAATCCAATTGGTTAAACGCACTACAGAATTTCGATTTCTTTGACCAAGAAAACAAAAACCACAAATTGTCTTACCTCACTTTACTCTCCATCATACCGTCGGGGCCCTCTATCTCAGTCAACCTATATCCAAGCCCGAGAAATCAAATAATCAGGGGACATCTTCATCTCTGAAATCCACATTCAGGATACGTATTCAGCGGCTTACACTACATCTAACCGAACATGGAAAATACAAAAAAGTGATACGAATTCGAGAGCAAAAGAGTAGACAAACATATCGATTTAGAAACTTAATTTGGATGTTAACGGTGAATTTCGCTGTACAGAGATACAAGTGACCAGCCGCAATGTGGCTATCAAAGATATGGAGCTTTACACAATGACACAAATTTAGTCAAGAGTCTACGCACGTATCTGGGCAACAGACTACTTGAAGAGTAACCCAAGAGAGCACGTAAATAGAAAATCAAACTTAACACATTCGCCAAGATTGCATAAGATGAAACTGAAATAATAAGCAACACTCAAAATATTTTTAGTACTCAAATGTACGTTAATGCTGGAGAAAAGCACAAGATTAGGAACCGTGTGGAGGCTTGTACCGGTACTGAATCACAGCATGTTGCTTGCTGCACGAAGGATGATCCGTGGGTACATCTGCTACTTTGCGTTCTCTTCCAAACAAGTAACAGGTTTGACGATGTATGTATAGAGGCTCTGCATGACGTTCAGTTTCTTCATCAGTGTTCGAAAGATCCACTGAACTTTCTTAACCTTGCAGTAAGCCAGGAACAGAGCAGAAGCCAGAAGTAAAGGCCTGGTTAATAATAATTCCATCGTGAAAGCTTGTCTTTCTAAGTACTTCAAGTAATATTAATTGTTGGAACACATACCATTCATAGGCTCTCCGTCCTTAAAAACATACAACCGCCACCTCATGGAAGGCTTCCGCGCTTCTGGAGGCTCCGTAAATGCTAGTGTCACACCTGCCAAAACCACAGGATTGCCGGAACAGATAATATTGAGTTGTACTTACAAGTTTGATAGAGTGAATAACCGAAAAGAACCAAAAACACCTTTCTAAAGCTCCGGAGTCTAATATGCAAAAAGCAGCATTGATACTCAAGAGGTCCAATCTGCTTCAGTGGGAAACCAAAACAGTTGAATTTCCTTTATACCAAGAAACACACGTCTCACCTCGCACTTTGTTCGTCTCCGCAGCAAGCTTTCCTGAATACTCAAACGTGGGCTGGGCCTGCACCAACCAGCACATCAAAAAGCTGGAAGGTAAGCTATTGAAACATACAAAGAAATGTAGTTAGTCAGCACTGATATAGCTCCGGACGAGTTCTTTGAGGAACCTCCCTCGATATTCTAAGCAGTCTGACAAATTTCAAAAGATATCCAGTGGAAGTAAGCATGTGACAGGTTTTTCATACGCCAATAGGAAACTTTCCCACAGAGCCAAGCCTAGAACCAGCTTTTCTAAAGAATAATAGCCCATTTTCGCCTTCTACATAGTAATTGTCAGATTTACCTTGAGGAACAAGAAAGCTAAATTCGTGTCAGGTGTTAACAAGGTTAACGACACAGAAGATTTTAAAAAAAACAAATAAAACGATGAAATAACTTCAAACTTGAAGCGGCGACATTCCCTAGATCAAAATTTTGCATGAAATGTTTTTTAGAAATAAAATAAAAAAACCTTCTCCTTCTCTTTAGCTTCCAAGGCAGCTTTCGCGGCTTCCATTTTGCTGACCACGTCATCAACACTGTCAACATTCCGTAATAAAGACGTAGTTCAGTCCACATCCACCACAGTCCCTCACAGTAGATGCGAAAATTATTTGCAAAGAAAGGGAATATGCCAAATAAATTTTGAACTCACGATAACATGCCCATGGCATGTACCAGAGAATTACGAGTTGCAACAGCATTAATATTATGCAGAACCATACCTTGGCTCGTTTCCTGCGACGTTCATGCCACCCTACATTAACCCAAACATAAACACTATCAGAAAATGGGTCTGCAAAGATCAAGTTAGAAGACAATACCCTACTTTCGTCAAAAACAAAATTTGACGTTTTTTTCTTAAATTTCGCAAATTAAACCTAAACGTTTGCTTTGCAGTGGTTCATCATGACGTTATTCCAGCAAGGCTATCGATCGTGCACAGCGATAAAAACATACCATCAGGACATAGTTACCAAACGGATATATTCGAAGATATATACTACCTAAAGAACGCCTGGCATTCCCCTAAAACTCTCATCTATCGCAATGTCGAATGTACTTAAACAGCTAGCAGGTTAGGCATCAACTTGCTCTATCAAAGCCATCCTTAATTAGGACGGACAAAGCTAGTTTCAGTAGTTCTTGCTAAGAAATGTGAGAGAACGAGACTGTAAAGGAGTGGATTTCACCAGACACCTCATTCGCGGCAGTGCTTGTTTCACGACGTGGGCTTTTCGTGGTATCCCGAACAGAATCAGTTATTCTTGCAATCCGACTCTCTTTGTCCGACTTCTGCTCGTGTCTTGGCGACCTTGACCTCGACCTCGACCTCGACCTCGAACGCTGCCCGGGCCTCGTCTCTGGCTCATCATACCGTTCTCTGTGGTGGTGCATCCCACCATGGTCGCGGTCCCTGCCCCCTCTCTCATGCTCACCCCTATCTCTGTCCCTGCTCAAAGCCCGCAATTTCTCCCGCCCTCTCTCGTGATCTCTGCTCACTCCTTTCTCCCTTCCTCTTTCCCTTTCTCTTTCCCTATCGCCACCCTTATCGTGGATCCGTGCTCTATCCCGGTCCCTATCCCTATATCTAACCCGCTCTCCACCCCTCTCCCTATCTCTATCTCCCTCATAGTCCCGCCCTCTCCCTCGTTCATAATTCCTATCGTGTCGGCTACGAGACATAGAAGAAACTCCGCGGCACTACTCGCCAATACCACACTTTCAACAACCCGCAATCAACGCTAAAAACAGACGCTCAAAATTAGCACGGCCACGAACACCGATACGATTTTTTCAACTGCCGTGAAGGAAAACTAAAGGAACTCTCCGTGAAATAACAATGCAATTCCAAGCGCACCGAAGCATATCACCAAGACAGCATCAAATCAGGGTCGGCGACGAGCTGCAGAGTCAAATCAATCCATACCAAACTGAAACCGAACTTGGATCAGCTGCCGAAACAGAGAAAGAGGGGGCGCGAGCGACCGAGCGAGCTAGCGAGACTCACCACACAAAAGCCAGCTCGTATTCACACCGCACTCACGAGAACCTGTTAGGGTTTCCACGGGGGGCATTTCACTGGAGTGAAAACCACTGTTGGAAGGGAAACTTCCCTGCGCTTGACCGGCAGTTGCCGGTCGTCGCGGAAATAGCTGTGTGCCTCTATTCCACATTCAATTTTGTTCATCTTTTCTTTCTTTTTTTCTTTTTTTTTATTTTTCTCGTGAGAGAATTATTGTTGTTTTCGTTGATAATAGAATGAATTGATGTGGATTATCTTTGTATTTTTTTCAATGAAAGCTACTTAATGGACCTTAAAGGGATTTTAAGATTTAATAGAGTTGTAAGTAAGAATTGAATTTCAGGAATTGAGACTGCAATTTTTTGTAATGCTGTGAATACTGTAAAAACATGCTGTTTTATATCAATATTGAACCAACTTGTTGAGAAAAATTCTTAAAGAATGCAATTATTACTTAATAATATTTAAGAAACTTTATGTTATGGACATCTAATAAGAAGATTTTAGGAATATTCTTAGAATATTCTATTAGTTTCTAGAAGATTCTTATAATGTTCTAATATATTATTTTATAAATATTCTTAGAATATTTTAGAAGATTCTAAAAAGTTTTTAGAATATTCTATAAGATTTTAAAAATTTCTAAGAAGATTAAAGTAGTTGTTCAAGAAGCTTCTTAGAATTGCTTCATTTTCAAGCAATATAGGAACCTCTCAAGAAGCTTCTTAAGGTTGCTTCATCTTCAAACAATATGGAAACTTTTCAAAAAGATTCTTAATACCTAATATCTATTAGAGTCGAGGCTAAAAGAATCTTCAATCTTGATAATACATCTTTTGGAGTTTTAATTTGTCTCTCTTAGTATTGATCTTGTATTCATCTAGTTTAATCAACACCTTGCTAATTTTCTTATTGAAATTCTTTTGTTCAACTTCTGTTCAATCTCTTCTATAATATATCCATGAAAGTTTATCAAGACTGCCTTCTTATCAATATTAGAGCTTGATCTTTCTTCATAGAGAGTAGATTATCCTTCTTCTTGAAGGCATCTAAGCACTTTAGAAGTTGTGAAATATCCTCTTTTAAATTGGTATTATTTAGATTTTCTTTTTTTCTTTTAAGATAGTTGAAGATGTGTCACGGACACAAAATACAGACTTGAAATCTAACAAGAAGTTCAAGAAGAAGTGGCAGAACTAAATTAAACAGATGAGTACAAGAACAATACCAGAAAGGTGAGCTAGAACTCCAAGAGATGTGTTGTCGAGACTGAAGAACTCTTCAGCCTCGACTCCTATATATACTACTGGCCTATGGTTCTAAGGAAGCGCATCAAGAAGCTTCCCAAGAACTATGAAGCTTCTCGAGCAACTACCCAAGAGCTAGGAAGCTTCTCAAGTAACTTCCTAGAATCTACTAGAATATTCTAATAATCTTCTAGAGCCTTCTAAGGGAATCTTTAGGAAATCTTTAAAGAATCTTTAGGGAATCTTTGAAGAATATTCTAAGAGAATATTCAAGGAATCTTCTAGAAGTTTCCAGAGACTTCTTTCTAGAAGGTTCTAGAAACTTGTCTCTAGAAAGGTCTAAGGACTATGTCCCTAACAAGATGAGGATGTTAGTATATTTGAGTCTCTCAAGTTCAAGGTAGATGTTATTATAAACACGTTGAAATCTTATATAACTACTAAAATAAAAAGATTTTGTGCAAGTTTTTATGATAATGCAAGACTTGGAGTAGTTCAACTTGTGCTACAACCACTTTCGTAAGCTTCTACATCCAAGGAGGCATTGACACTTGTACTTCAACAAGAAAATTCACCTGTTCAATAATATAAAGAATGTCAGTTTAATCTTATAGAAAAGTTTCATGACACATGTTCTAAGTTTCAAGGATTTGTTAATCAAATTTGATTGGTAATTTTTTTGTAACTTGAGCACTATCCAATAGAAAAGTCATAAATTGATTTAGTTAGAACTTTGCATATAAGTCAAGCCTTATCTTAGTTTGCTCCTTTATTTGAAAAAAAATCTTCAATCTTGAGTAATTTTGAAGTTTTCTTAGAAGCATTTGTAGAGGCATTTTGAAAATATGACAAGGCTTGATAGGCGACAACAAAGATTTATTCATTATATCAAGAATCATATTTTGTATCAATTTATACATCCAATTTTAGACAATTTATTTGTGACATCAATTGGAATAAACAAGTTCTTATAAGTCAATTCTATTAGAGACTAAAGAATGATGTGAAAGATCTATTATTATCATTACATGATCTTCAAATCCTTAATGAAGCTATTAACCAAGTTGTAAACTACAATAATCAATTATTTCAATGCCATCAAGATCCACACTTGTGAACTTTGACAAAGTAACACACTAAAAATTTGTACTCTATTACTTCAGAAAATATATTACATCCACACTTTGGAGTTGAAGATATGTAAATTAATGTGATTTAGTACAAACATCTTACAACAAAAGAGAAGAAGTGTTGATTTAAATAAGGTCTATACTTGTATTATGATAAAGAAGGCTATAAATCTAAGAATTGTCTAAAGAAACAACTTACAACTAAGATTAAGACTGTAATTGTTTTAAAAAACAAAGAGGCCCAACTACAATTGGGATTGTGTGGCTGAACATTTCAACTCCTAAATTTCATCAAGATACTTTTTTTTTTTTATCCAACCCCCTTTTTGTTTTATTATATCTTTATATTTTGGCCTACAAAAACTTCAAACAAATGCCTTATTAGATTTATGAGCATTTGCTTGCTTTTAAGATGAAGAGTTCTCTAAATTTCATAAAATTCTTTTAGTACAGAAGTCAAAACTTGAAAATGTAGAAATAATAGATGATTGACCTTTATTTTTAATCAATGTTACTCATAAGACTATATTAGTAAAAATATCATTTAAAGATTATAATAAAAAAATAGTATTCAATATTACTAGAACTCCATCCAATTATATAATTTTAGGACTTTTTTAGTTAAAAAATTTATAATCCATCTATAGATTGGAGGCTTCATAAGATTGAATTTTTTATAAAATATTTTTGGAAAAAATCTATTAAGAAGTCATCAACAAGAAAGTCTTTATTTTTTGAAGCAAGGACTTTTATGAAGATGGCTAAGAGAGAAATGCCATTTATCATTTATGCAACTTCAACTTGTAAAGAAGCAAGCTAGCTAATAGCTATCTTAAAGCAATATAAGGAATTTCAAGATATCTTTAAAAAAAAGAATATTGATGTATTACTTGAGCATCATTCATATGATTGAATCATCGATCTTCAAGAAAGAGTTTAACCACCGTTTGGCCCAACTTATTATAACATATCACAAAACAAGCTTTTGGCATTAAAAGATTACATCAACAAAAATCTTGCAAAGAGTTTTATTTGATATTTCAAATCTCTAATATGTACACTAATATTTTTTGTGAAAAAAAAAAGATAGATCATTGCAAATATGTATTGATTATTGCAGCATTAACAAAATAACGGTAAAAAATCATCATCCATTACTATTGATATCAATGCTTTTGGAGACCTTTGGTCAAGCAAAGATCTACAACAAAATAGATCTTCATAGAGCATACAATTTGGTGTGCATTAAAAAAAGAAATGAATAGAAGACAACATTTTGGATAAGATACAAATATTTTGAATATAATATCATGTCTTTTGGATTGATAAATATTCAAGCTATATTATAGCATTACATAAATAATATTTTTAAAAATTCCTAAATAAGTTTGTTATGTACTATCTTGATGATATCTTAATTTATTATAAGATTTTCAAAGAATATAAATAATATGTGATATTAGTCTTATAAAAGTTATAGAATACACAATTATATGCCAAATTAGAAAAATATGTATTTTACCAATCAAAAATAGAATTTCTTAGATATATTATTTTAATAAAGATCTATTAATGGACTCAAAAAAAGTTCAAGTTGTAATAGAGTGTGCAATTTTAATTCATGATATATAATATTTTCTTGAATTTATTAATTTTTATTGAATATTTATCAAGAACTATTCCTAAGTTGCTACTTTTTTCACTTGGTTGACATCTTAGAGACAAATTGGAATATAAACCTTAAGCATAAAAGACTTTTTAAGATTTGAAGGCAACTTTTATTACAACTCCAATCTTAATACATGCAAATTTCATGAAGGCCTTCTATTTGGACACTGATGCTTCTAATTTTACATTAAAAGTTTTACTATCATAAATGGAAAAATATGAAAAGCTCCAATTAGTTGTATTTTATTCTAGAAAGTTTTCAGTTATATAGATTAATTATAAAATTTATAATATAGAACTTCTTGCAATTATAGACTCTTTCTAAAAATGACATCATTTGTTGAAAGGTACTACACATCTTATGACTGTATATGCAGATCACAAAAATTTAGAATGTTTCATGTAATTTTGGATTTTGAATCATTGATAAGTTTGTTGGAATACATTATCTCTTTGCTTTGATTTTATGATTATATATTCACCAAGAAAGGTGTAAAAACTATCATACACTTTATCAAAGAGATTGTATCTTGCTTCAAAGGCCAAAGAAGGAAGAATTATTTAGTAATATATTACTTTATTAAAACCAATTTTTTTTAGCTTTATACTATTTTTATAATTATACTTGTTGATTTAAGTTTTTTTAAACAACATTGTACAACATCAGTTAAAGATTCATTAGTTTGTAATATCAAGCAGTACCTTGACAATAAGAAGTTCAAGTTTGTGGAAGATCTTTTGTATTTTGAAGATTGTTTATATATTCCAAAAGGACCAATGTGAATTTAGGTTCTTCAATCTTGTCATGATTTCATAATTGCAAGACATTTTGGATTTAACAAAATATAAGGACTTATCTTTCAAAATTTTTGGTGGCCTCAAATGTAGAAGACTATGAAGGATTTTTACCTTTCATGTGACATTTTTTTAAGATCAAAAAATTCTTTATATCATTCATATGGATTT